AAAGGACCGAAACGTCAGCCTTCCTGCTCCTCTGATGCTGCTTGGCCTGCTGTGTTCATCCAGCTCTACACCTTGTTATCTCAGAATATCAGTGCTGGTGGCTTGAAACTTGTAGGAGCTTATTGGCAAAATTAAACAAATGGCACAGGTCAGAGAAACATGGAATGACTACAAAAAGTCAAGGAACTGCCTTTGGACAGAGCACTCGCCATGATGATAATGGTGAGAGAAATATGACACGTGAAGGAAAGAGTTTGAATTTGTACTTTTTTTTAGTTCCTTCTATTAAAATCATACCAGTTGCCTGTAATCAGTTAATTTGTATAGCCCACTTAGCTTCAGTTCTAAATAAGATAAAGAATCGTTGTAAATTATTCAAGTAAAAATGGCGACGTTATTATCCAAAAATATGAATACAATGTTTATAAGTAAGTAAGGATAAAAGACACTTGGAAAGATGAATGTATGATCAGTCCCTTGTCATTGCAGGGTTTGTTTACTCTTTCCACGGTCAAAAAGTTGAGTTCAGAATTTAGCGGCTGTGATGACTTCCATTGTTGAATAATTGCTTGTGCAGCTAGACTCAAGAGATAAAGCAGGCTTTTGAGTGAGAGATAGAGAGAGCATTTTTCTCCCCCTCACTAGTTCTGCAGTTGTGTCATATTGCCTGGACACACTCAACAGAGCAGTTTTTGATTTCTGAAAGCCTTTCTCCCTATGCTCCCTGAGACTGAGAACTCCAGACTCCTTCCTGGGGATTTAACAACGTAGTGTCTAAAAGCCTGACTTATTACTACCAAAGGAAAATGGCTGCTCTGCTAATTAATCAGTATTCCACTGAGCAAATTCAATTATGCTGAAATTCCCTGTAAAGTCTGCCAGTCTCCGGTTCTCTCAGAAGCTTTGAATTCTCACATATTTTGAAAGAAGGATTGTGCTGCTCAAAGGTTAGTAAAATTCTGAATGCCCCCCCACCCTTTTGTGATTGATGCTGAGATAACACATCAGTCTGTCAGATTTTTGACTGCACTGTATCAAAAACAATGGTCACGTAGTTTCCGAACCCATCTTGTAGGAACATGTCCAAATTCAGATTAAACTGCTTTGCAAAGTATAGAGTATTAAAGTATCCAGTCCTGGTCACTTCAGGAACTTGGACATGACTGTATTTATTACCCATCCATAAGTGCCTTTGAAAACGTGTTGGTGACCTGTTTTCTTGAACCAAACCTTTTAACATGCCAAATCTCTTGATAGAAAGTTAAGTACTTATGGAGTATAGTTACTGCTGTAATGGAGGACAAACAGCAACAGATAGCAGAATCAACATTCTAATAGGACCAAGTCATCTGTTAGTTTTGATGATATTTGTTAATGGATAAATATTATCCAGGATATCTACAGGGAAAATTACCCTGTTCTTCTTCACATGAATGCCATACCAACTTTTACATCCACCTTGAAAGGCAGATCAGCCTCATTTAATGTCTCATCATTTTTTTATTCACTCGTGGGACATGGGCATCACTTGCTAGTCAGCATTTGTTATCTGTCCTTAGTAATCTGAAAGATGGCATCTTTAAAATTGCGGCTCTACATTGCACTGGAGCCTGGATTAGGCACACAAGTCCCAAGACTGGGGCTGAACATGTGACAGGATAGATATGGTTTTCAGGAAAATGGGGAAAAAGCAGAAGATTGCCATTAGGTCATAAAACAGGAGCAGGCACGATGGAGCATCTTCTGCACCTTCACAATTCTGTGATTCTGTGATAACATTCTGACCCATAACCAAGACTATTGTCATTGAATGGCAGCTGTATAAAACAGGTGGATAAAAATCTGGTGACCTGTGAACCCTTTGGGATCTTCTATCTTCCAAAGAAACCAATGTGGAAGGTATCTTTAACCAGGCTACTGGGTTATAAATATCAACCCTGATCTCCAATTGCCAGATCATCAATTCTGAAACGTAGATGGGAGTTGCACATGGGTACACTGTGAAATTCCAATTGTAACAGGTGCCAAAGGGATTGATGGGAAATTGAAGATTCTGCATACATTGGAACCCTTCGAAAGTCTCCATTTAAATTAGAGAATCGGAGCGTTCTGCTACAATTAGGTAAACAGTTATGTTTAAGGAAATGTTAGACTATTAAATACCCAGTCAAATTCCTGCACCCGCCCCACCCCACCCCCATCCCGCTCCCTGCCCCTTCAGGAGCTGCCACACCCTGACTTGGCACCTTACCCTCCTGGCAACCTATTCCCTTCCCACTTGGATTCCAACCCACCTCGCACCCAAACGTCTGGCACCCTATTCCTACCCACCTGATTCTATCCCCTATCCCCTATCCACTTGATAGCAAACCTACTTGGCACTCTACCCACTTGGCACCCTGTCCTCTTGGCATCTATCCTCATGAAAAAGGTGGCAAGTTTGCCTTCCCAGAGTGTGTTATGCTACGAGGTGTGTGTCTGCTTTTGAAGGTGGCTGCAAAAATTTTTTATCTGGTTCTGCCAGGCACAGCGATCCTGGGTGAGCTTGCTCCCAAGGCTCAGGGTTTATAGTGAAACTCCTGAGTGAAGCCTTCAGAGTGTTGTTGGAACTCATCCTCTGACCTCACCCCAGACTTTGGATCTCCAAAGAGGGTTCACTTTGGAAAATGAGTGTCGGGCATTCTGGCTACATGAGCATCCCAAACCAGTTGTGACTGTTTTACTGTGCTTGCAATGCCAACTTGAGTAAGCATGGTGTCTGGTATTTCACCCTGACATCTGATCTGCAGGAGCTTCTGAAGGCAGCCAAAATGGAAGTGTTGAGTTTCTTACCATGACGCTAGTGCATAGTCAGAATGGAAATACAGCTGTGCATTTCTGAAGAAGCCCTGATCAGAATCATCTGTCAGAAATGTAGAGCTCTTCCGTTTCATGAAAAAAGGAGAATGTAACCTGCGTGAGATTGTCATTCCTCAGAAAGTCGAGCCTGATCCATTATGTCATTTTCATAAATTACGGCAGTGGTTTGGGATTCACAATTAAGAAACCAAACATCTTTTCAATGCAAATCAAGTGCTAGCGGCTTCATCCTTGAATATGTTAGATGTAATTCCCATTATATTGTCACTGTATCTAACACGAGGGGCTACAATCGTTGCTCCACATCTTGCAAAACTCATACAAGAATCACAATACTCTCCCTCACCAGCAAAATCTTCACCAGGGTCCTTCTGAACTGCTTATTGATCAGGATCTGCTGCTCGAGAGTCAGTGCAGGTGAAAGAGCCGCCCTTATTGTGTTGACAGTGAGACATCTCCAGGAGAAATGCCCAGAACAGAACGTGGTGTCTCTTCACCAGGCTTGATGATCTAAGGTCTTTGACACAGTCAGCTGTTCAATCCTTTAGAGGGTCTTGGAGGAATCCAGCTGCCCTGAGAAATCCATCACAACGGTTTGACAGTTTCATGAGGGCTGCCCACACCTCGTGGCTGAGGTCAATCTTCTGATCCAGTCCCAGTCACTAATTGAATTAAACAGAGCTTTGTGCTGAAGTCATCTCACTTCAGCATGTTTTTCTCCACCATGCTCTCCAATGCCTTCCACCATGGCAATTCCGACGTTGAATTCACATAATGCCTGGATAGGAAGCTGCTCAATCTGACTCCAGGCAAAGATCAAGGTCTCCAAACGGACAGACTTTGTGATTTCCTGTTTGCCAATGTCTGTGCTCTAGTCGCCATTTCAGAGCCAGGCATGCAATGTAGCATGGAACTTGTCCCCAGTGAGCATGACAACTTTGACCTTATGATCTGCATGATGAAAACTGAAGTAATGTTCCAGCCAGTTCCAGGAAAGCCCTTTAGAAAGCCCAAGGTTTCTGTCCATGACCAGACCCTATCAGCACAGCCAAGTTCACTTATCTTGGCAGCACATTCACTTGAGCTGTTTAAATTGATAACAAGACACACACAAGAATTGTCAAAGCAAGTATCGCCTTTGGCAGACTTCCAACACCAGCCAGAGAATAAAGAATAAGTGTGCCAACCAAATTGAAAGTCTATAAAGCAAAAGCTCTTCCAGCACCTTCTCTGCTGCTGGAGGCAGTCCAGAGGAGGTTCACGAGATTGGTTCCATGTATGCAGGATTATTCTTATGAGGAAAGGTTGGCTAGTTTGGGTTTATACTCATTGGAGTTTAGAAGAATGAGAGAAGACTTTATTGAAACATACAAGATACTTAGGGCGCCTGACAAGGTAGATGTTTAGAGGCTATTTTGCCTGGTGGGCAAATCTAGGACCGCAGGAAATAATTGCACAGTTAGGCATCACCGACTTAAAATTGAGTTGAGGAAGAACATTTTCTCTCAGAGGATAGTGAATGTCTGGAATTATTTCCAAGAGGGTTGTCAAGGCTGGGCTATTAAGTATATTCAAGGCCGAGATAGCCGGATTTCTAATCAATAAGGGAATCAAGGGTTGTGGTGATAAAGCAGGAAAGTGAGGTTGAGGATTATCAGATTGGTAATAATTTCATCAAATGAGGGAGCAAACTCGATGGGCTTAATGGCCTCCCTTTTCTCCAAGGTCTTGTGGTCTGACACATGCCAGACTTAAGACCATGTACTGGCTCATAGTAAGAAGCTCAACACTTTCATTTCAGCTGCTTTCAGAAGCTCCTGATAGTCAGATGTCAGGGTGAAATACCAGACACCATGCTTACTCAAGTTGGCATTGCAATCACATTAAAACAGTCACAACTGATTTGGGCTGCTCATGTAGCCAGAATTCCCGACACTCGTTTTCCAAAGTGAACCCTATTTGAGATCCAAAGTCTGGGGTGAGGTCAGAGGATGAGTTCCAACAACACTCTGAAGGCTTCACTCAGGGGTTTCACTATAAACCCTGAGCCCAGGATCGCTGCACTGGACGGAACCAAATAAAAATCTTTGCAGCCCCCCCTTCCAAAGCAGACACACACCAGAGACAGAGAGAAAACACAAGGTGAGGTAATGTAACTGGGCTGACAATCCAGATTCCCAAGCTAATGTTCTGGGGATATGCATTTGAATCCAATATCCAGTTGGTGAAACTGGAATTCGATAAAAATCTGGAATAGTTACCGCTGTCATGTAGCAGAAAAACCAATTTGGTTCACTATATCCTTTAGGGAAGGAAATCTGATGTCCTTACCTGGTCTGGCCTACATCTGACTTCAGAACCACAGCAACGTATAACTCTTAACTGCCATCTGGGCAATTAGGGACAGACAATAAATGCTGGCCTAACCAGCAATGCCCACATCCCATGAACAAATGATTTTAAAAAGTGAAGTCCAAAACCAGCAACTTGTTTAAAATTCAGTCACATTTAGTACACTGTTCTATCTACAGTACAACCCTCCAGGTGTAGATCCACTTTCGTAGTAACATTCTTATCACCTGGAACCCTACCAAACACCACGGATGATGAACATGGATAACCCAGTGTGGAGCTGGAGGAACACAGCAGGCCAGACAGCATCAGAGGAGCAGGAAAGCTGACATTTCGGTTCGGGACCCTTCTTCAGAAATGTCAATTTTCCTGCTCCTCTGATGTTGCCTGGCCTGCTGTGTTTCTCCAGCTCTACACTGAGTTATCCCTGACTCCAGCATCTGCAGTTCTTACTATCTCTGAGATGATGAACATGGTCATTTTCAATGCAAAGGATGAACAACATTATCCATGTCCACTTTTGTGGCTCTCCACCGCTTTCTCAAAAGCGTTTAGGAATAGGCAGTAAATGCTGCCTAGCCAGTGACACCTAAAAACTGTAAACAACTTCTCTTCAAGAAAAATGTTTAACTTCAGTCAAGCAAGTCCCAAAGCGCTCCACAGTGTTACTGGACCAAAGAATAAACTCCCAGCTGAAGAAAGGGCCTTTGAGGGAAATCAAAGTGGAAGCTTTTCAGCAATAGAGAGAAGTGGACCAGAGATGAGGTGTGGACAGTGAATGCCAGAGCTCAAGGCCTATGCAGAGGAAGGCACTGTAACTAATGATGGGGCAAAGGAAATGGGACAGTTGCATTTATTCAACTGCAATACCCCTGCCTCTGTCAAAGCAGTAATCAACTCAATCCAGCCATTTCTCTATCTGCTGGTCTGAGATACATTGCTTATGAGAAACGAGAATGGGAGGAATGTGAAGGAAGAGATTAATAAAAGTGAATGTCAGCCCATTAGAGGCAGAGACAGATGTAATTATGGTGGGGAATAAGGAAATGCAAAGACATTAAACAAGTACTTTTTTCTACCATCAGAGTAGAAAACAAAACCAGCTGCAGAGATAATCGATAGATCGGCTTTAACCTTCAGAAAACCTGAGGTGCTATCACGGGTTTCTAAGGATTGGAAGGCAGAAAATTGGAAGATATTGGAATTAGAATGTCCTACCTCACCGATAAGTCTTGTGTTCATGTAGTCTTGGTTTATAGGGTACATACATGTCCGTGCAGTTGAGGCCACAGTCAGATCAGCCAGAGTGGAAGGTGTTGGCCAAACTGGATTACCACTTAACTATTAATCCAGATAATGTTCTGGCCTCCTGGGTTTGAATCATGCCATGGCATATGGTGGAACTGGAACTCAACAACGAAATCTAGAATTAAGAGTCTAGTCATGACAATGGAAGCAAATTCCATGTTGGGAAAATCTCATTTGCTTCACTTTAGGGAAGGAAACTTCCTTCCTTCTCGGTCCGGCCTACATGTGCCTCCAAACCCACAACAATTTTGTTGACTCTTAACTGCTTACTGAGTGATAAAGTCAGTGACGCCTGCATTCTGTGAATGGAATGAATAAAAAAAGAGGCAAAACAGGCTCAAGGAGCAAAATGTCTTCGCCTATTTTGAATTCTTGCATTGTTGTTGACCTCCAGACCAGGCAACGTTTTCCTCACTAAAAGATCACATCATCACAACCACCCCCACCCCCACAATTGTTGCATTCCATTTAGACTGTAATGTGTAGGCAATATAACAGAACAATCAGGAACCTGCAAGTTGCTTGAGCTGAAAGTGCTTAAGAGATCATTGTGATAATACCTTTGTTTTCATCCACTCATTCATAGAAAGTGGTCATCACTGGCTAGTCCAACATTTGATGACATCCCTAGTTGCCCTTGTGAAAGTGATGGTGAGCTGCCTTCTTGAACCGCTGCAGTTCAGTTGGTGTAGGTACACCCACAATGTCTTTAGGGAGGGAGTTCCAGGATTTGGGCACTGAAGAGACGGTAATATATTTTGAAGTCAGGAGGAGAACTTGCAGGTGATGATGTTCCCATGTATCTGTTAGTTTTATCCTTCTAACAGGTAGAGTTTGTGGGTTTGGAGGATGCAGTCTAAGGAGACTTGGTGAATTTCTACAGTGCATCTTGTAAAAGGTACACACTGCTGCTGCTGAGTGTTGGTGATGGAGGGAGTGAGTGGTTGTGAATGTGGTGCCAATCAATGGATTGCTTTGTCCTGGCTAATGTCAAGCTTCCTACTGGAGCTGCACTCATCCAGGCAAATAGGAGCATTCAATCACTTCTTGACTTGTGCCTTGCAAATGGTTGAAAGGCTTTGGGGAGTTGAGGGTTGAGTTACTCACTGCCCCATTCCTGGCCTCTTACTGGTCTTCCCATCCTCTATAACTTACAATTATATACACCTCTAAAATATTCATGTCAAAGGATAAAAGGATGAAATTCGAAATCAAGCTGGAATTGCGAGAATTAGGGCAGGATTCTTTTTTTTAAACATAGAGTCATACAGCACAGAAACAGACCCTTTGGTCCAACCAGTCCTTGCCAAACATAATCCCAAACTAAACTAGTCCCACTTGCCTGCTCCTGGCCCATTTCCCTCCAAACCTTTCCTATTCATGTACTTATCTAAGTATCTTTTAAACGTTGTAACTGTACCCATTGCTTCCTCTGGAATTTTATTGCACACGCAAACCACCCTCTGTGTAAAAAATTTGCCCTCTATGACTTTTTTAAATCTCTCTCCACTCACCTTAAAAATGTCGCCTTGTCTTGAAATTCCCCATCCTATGGATTAACCTTATCTATACCCCTTATGATTTTATAAACCTCTATAAGGTCACCTCTCAACTGCCCTCAGTCCAGCTTATTCAGTCTTTATGACTCAAACTTTCTATACCCAGCAACATCCTGCTAAATCTCTTCTAAACCCTCTCTCGCTTAATAATATCCTTCCTATAACTGGGTGACCAGAATTGGACAAAGTCTATTTTTACTAACTGCTCATTGCTAGTTGCTGTTTCAGAATATAGCTAAGGGTCTTCCTTTCGAACTATTGAAATCTGTAGAGTGAAGCTATTCTTACAATGGTGCTAGGTAGAGAGTGCCAAGATCTTGGCTCAATGACGATGAAGGAGCAGTGAGAAATGTCAAAAGTCAGTATGATATGGGATTTGGTGAGAATTTTGGTTTGATGTTGTTTGCATGCATTGCTGCCAAAACATAATGTCATATAGATACATCCTGAAAAGATTTTTCAAAACTAGAGAGCAATTAATCATGGGAGATACTTAAGAACTTAACCACATCAGAAAAGGAGGAGTGGGCCATTTGGCCCTTCTTCAGGCCAGTTCCATCCTTCAATAAAAACACGGCTGATCTACCACCTCAGTTCTGCCTTCCCAAATTATCCCCACTTTCCTTACATTGTGGCGCACCCAAAACTCGATTTACCTTGGTCTTGAATATGCTCAGAATTCACTGCTGTCTGGGGTCGTGAATTACAAAAATTTACAACCTTTGGAGTGAAAGGT